AACACCTCCCTGCTTCACACGCGTGGTCTTCTCCAAGCCCGGCTCCGACCCAGTCACTCTCTGGCTTAAACCGTCAGCGTGTGGCTGGTACCCGTCCGTCCCCAGCGCTCGCTGTTATGGCCACAGCCACGTTCCAGCATCTCGTCCCACGACTGTTTCTGATTTCCTTCAGCATCCAATCGACACGGGCAACTCAGCCTTCCCAGGCGGCCCTGATTTCCGGCCACACCTCACCTGGCTGAGCCTCTGGCTGGGGACTCGCTCCCTGGACTGTGCACACACACAGGCCGGCACACACACAGGCCTGCACACTCACACAGGCCAGGACACTCGCACAGGCCCGCACACTCACACATGTGCACACTCACATAGACCCCCCACTCACACAGTCCCCCCCCCCCCACAGGCCCGCACGCTCACACAGGCCCGCACGCTCACACAGGCCCGCACACACACACAGGCCCGCACACACACAGACCCGCACACACACAGGCCCGCACACACACACAGGCCCCCACCCCCACACAGGCCCGCACGCTCACACAGGCCCGCACACACACACAGGCCCGCACACACAGGCCTGCACACACACACAGGCCCGCACACACACACTGGCCCGCACACACATAGGCCCGCGCACACACACAGGCCCGCACACACACAGGCCCGCACACACACACAGGCCCGCACATACACACGCCAGTGCTGCCCCCTCCCTCGGTCTCCCCGCTCTCTGTCCCTGTCATCCACAGTGGCTTCTGCCCTGTAATGTGGAAACCGGTGAGTGTGCTGGCCCGGCTCCTAGAAACCACCCAGTCCCAGCTCCGTGCCCATCCGACAGCTCCACACCGAGGAGCGACGGGCGGAGCCGTGGTGAGAACAAGGATTCGGACCCTGGAGTGAACATATTAACATGGAAGAGCCACCCCTGGCTCCTCCCCTCTCCTGGGGGGGAGGACACGTTACCCGCCCAGAAAAGAAATGTGACGAAGAAGAGCACTGAGTATCCAGAACTTTCTACACACACTTTCAGATCCTTTCCCACAAAATCATATTCACCCTAAAATACAGTTAAAACAGAAATCGGAAGCTGAGCCTGAGGATAGAAGTTTTACGCTTGAAACTGTTTCCTATTGGCCGGTACGTGGCCGACGGTCACAGCCCGCGGTGCCGATCTCGGGGCTACTCTGCCTTGATTACTCATCCGAAACAACACCAAAGGGACAAAAATGGATATATTTTTTAAAGCGTGTGTGTGTGTGTGTGTGTGTGTGTAGAGTATATAATTAATATCCATATGCACAGACACAGACATACTCACAGACACAGATTCACACACTCACATGTGCACACCCACACGTGCACACACATGCACACTCACATATGTACACGCACTCACACAGGCACACTCGCACACATGCACACACACCAATATTCACACGCGGGTGCGCACACGAGCCCACACACTCACATGTGCACAAACACACAGCTCCTCCGATTTCCTGCCTTTGCGTGTGGGCGTCCGCCATCCTGCGTGGGGCAGGTCACAGGCGTCAGCACTGACCTGACAACGTGTGAGCAGAGGCGAGGAGGGACGTGCTGCCTGCAGAGGGAGGGGATGGCTGCCTCTGAGCGGCGGGGTGGCCCAGTGACTGACGGAGAGCCTGCGGTCCCCGGGGGCCGGCTGGGGGACAGGCCCTCCGCAGGGTTTTAGGGTCACTCACAGGAGCCGGGGAGGCACTCGGCCGCTTTTAAAGTTTATGATTTAAAAATGGAACTGAAACTAGAGTTTGAGTGAATTAAAATGAATAGAAAAGTACAAAACATCCAGGAGAAAACAGAACATCCAGGTGGGCCTCAGGCGGTCACTGACCCCTCACAGCACTGCCCTCGGGGCAAGGCCCCCTCCAAGCGCCTGGGCTTCCCGCAGGCCCAGGAGCCCCGCCGACGCTCACAGGCCGCGGGAAGGCTTGACAAGGTGAACTTGTTTCTCTGTCATGATCACGGTCTGTCACGGTGGAGACAGCGGGTCTTGGGGGGGGAAAGACAGCTTGTACTCGAGTCAGTACCGAGGAGTCGTCTTTGGAGGACAGA